GCAATAAATTAAGCATTTGGATGTACAGATGAACAATTGTTTGATTGTGTAAGTGGAGTTGGGTCCAAGAACCGAAGTACATGTGGTGATGTAACGGCACGTGCTGCATCGTGAATGAGCAGAGCAACGCGTACCTCATTGAAGATTAGTAATATCTTCTGGTGTCTTCACTCGCGCCTGAACCAATATATGTTTGGGGTTTGTTTGTTTTTTCGTGTCAATAAAAAGTTTATCTTCAAATGTATTTTTCAAAGTTTCATCATATTGAAAAGCCCCAAAATTGTTTTTAATTATGTTGGAAACATGAATGCTTTGCGAATGAGATATCAAAATAAAATAAACACATGATTTTGACATTATTCTCTCTCTCTCTCTCTCTCTTTCTTTTTTTTTTTTGTCTTTCGTTGTAGAGAAGTATTATGATTGAACTTTGCAACATCTCTGCGAAGTAATTCGATTACATTTAGAAAATAACCATTACTCACGAAAAACCTGTTAATTAGTTCATCAGCTTTCCGGGTAAAATCTAATCCGGAATTATAAAAGTGGTGGAAACAATGGAACTGTGATTTGGTAATAGCATTTTTGTTGGTTATGAGATGGTTGGAGTTGTAATACAGAAAAGAATCGAAGTCGTTAGGCTTATAATAGATTGATTTTGAAATTGCATTCTCTGTAGCTAATGTTAAATGATGTCGATGAAGTGTATTGGTGATTTGTTAGTTTGTTTGTGATTAAGCACAAACTACACAATGGGTTATCTGTGCTGTTCCAATGAAGGGTATCAAAATACGGATTTTAGCATTATAAGTCTTCAGACTTACTGCTGTGCCACGTGGGGGGGGGGCTGGGTAGTTTAAACATAACTTCTGTTTATGGAATTCCGTTTATTCTTCACTCATTGCAGTCAAAAGGAAGGGATAACAAATGAAAATGAACTCGTCTGTCGGCTGAACACTATTCACCAGAAGGGAATAAATGAAGTCTGTTATTTTCTGTAACTTTGTGTGCGTGTGTGTACATGTACGTACGTATATACATATTTATACACAGGCACACATACGTTTATTATTATTATTACCACTATTTACTTTTTTGTATTTATTATTATAATATTTGTATTCCATTTCACTTTTAGACACCAGAGAAGCACTAGTCTTATTTCGAACAACAGAAAAGTGACACTGTTGCCTTACAACAATACGCAGCACCCTCTTCACCTGCTATTATTATTGACATTTTTTCAAAAACTTTAAATATATTTGAAATCCCAATATTTAATTATATACATATTTATATATTATTATTATCCTAATTGTGATAATAATATTGATTTACTTTTGATTTATGTATGCTTCTTTAGATCTGTTGTGTGATGCTCATTTCGAAGGTTCTATGTTTGATAACCCTTAGTGGTATCAAAGTAAAGTAAATTCTAAACCAAACATAGTGCAGTGGTATATAAAAAAAAGTGAGGCCAAGAAAAACAAAACAATAGGCGGCAACTAAAAGATAGCGAAATCATAATTGGCGCCCCAT